AAGAGAAGGCAAAGCGTTCGGTAGGGGGGATGGCGACGACATGCGAACGAAGTGGTACTACTTCGAAGACGTTGCGGATTTACTCTGCGCACAATGTCACGCAGAAGGAGCTCAATCCACGGCCGACCATCAGTACAATGCGGATACATGTATCAACTGCCGCGCGAACGGGCTGATCGAGCAGAATACCATGTACAAAGGGGCTGACCGCCCCAACATCATGAAAAGATTCTTTGCTGACTGCAGCCTGGTGCTCGGTGACATCAACGAGCCTGAAAGCGCTTTCGATGGGGACATGGAAACTTTCGCGCAACACCTCATCGTGAGCCTGTTCAACAAGAAGTTCGCGAAGGAGCTGTCGCAGATCGGTGGCATCACACTTGATACGGGCTCTTTCGCAGACTACTTCCGCAGTAGCAATGGGAAGCAACTGTGGGTTGACAAGCTGTCGTATATCGTCACCCATTCCGATGAGAAGAAGACCGCATTCCGTGTAGGTCGAGAACAGGCATATCGAGTTTTCTCCACCGACAATGAAGAGAAGTTGGGAGATGGACTGGAGACCGTTCTCGGGTTATTCGACGTCATATCCTACTTCGGGAAGGAATTGCCAAAGTGGGGGAACGTTTGCCAATACCGACCGTCAGGGAGAACATGACTTCTCACATGACGGGCCTCAACAGGAAGAGAAGCGGCACAGTCAAGCACATGGAAGTTCCCAGCAAGACCGTCAGGGACATCATGGACAGACTGGAGTACTCGAACCCGTTCATCAACATCGAGGAAGCCGGTTCATCAGGCCAAAAGAGGAAAGCGGGCGAGTCCGACGAGGACGAGGCTGATCGTGGTCGTGAACCCGATGATGCCGAGGAGCCCGAAGCCAAACAATCGAGAGTCGAGGACATCGCCCCAAGACGAGCAGAATTGTTGCGGATGTTTGAGGATCTTTGCGATCGCGCTGGCGAACTGCAGATTTGCATGAAGCGCGGGAAAGAATCCCACGAAGGGACTTGCAAAAACATTGCCAGAGCAATTGAGTTTGACTCGGCGCGCGGCAAGATCACAATGCTGTTTCTTCCAAAAGAGCATCCCTCATCCGATGAAGACATCGAAATGGAGGCTCCTGATGATGATGATGAAGAAATGGCTCCGATGTCCAGCGAACCTGACAAACCGCATCAACCGGCAGCGGAGGCGCCGATCTTCTATCCGAGGGAGGAGTTCCACAAGTACAACTACGTCGTGAACCTCTCCGAGATGGCTGATTTTGCAGAAGGAGGAGAACTCCATGTTGGTCAACTTGACCTACGCACGAATCCGAACGGAACCATGAAGGAGTACAACCGCATGCTCGATTCGTTTGGTGGAGCAAGCCCCTCTGTGATTCCTCAACCCGGTGATGAGTCAGATTGCGAAGGTGTGCAAGGAAATTCATGTATGGCCAGCACGCTGTGAAAGGGATTACACTTAGAAGTCATGAACATGCAGAACAGAGATACAAGCTTGCCCTATCGGCCGTACAATGAGTACACAGCGTTTGGGCCCAACATTCACCATCAAGGTTTATATTTCACGTCAAAAGCACTGGTGAAGATCCTACGACATCAAATTGGACAAAAGTGGGGAAACTCCATTCCTTGCAATGGCGGAGGATGGGTGAACATCGACCACATCCTGAGTCGCGAGAGCGCGTTCCCGCAGGATCGGTGCAAGAAGAGCGACCAATTTCAAACGGTTGCCGAGTGCATCAGACCGGAGGATCGGAAAGCACGAAAGCCGAGACTGCAGATTCTTGCTGCGAAGTTTGATCAGGATATCGACATGGAGACGATGGCAGGTCTCATAGCGGCTGGATGGGCGAAGAACGACATTGACTGGATTTGTCGTGAGCATGGCGGATGGTGGCAACCATGGTGCATTCGAGCGTCATCAGGGCATTCGGATCTCGGATTCGCTCGTCCTGCTGAACTTTCTTGTTCCCGAACATGTCCGATCGCTTGGGCGGAGCATTTCACGTGACAAAGCCATCAGCCCTGGAAGGTATCATTTTGAGAGGTATCATTCCTGGCGGCAATGACAGCGCGCGAAGGCTGGCAGTACACTTCGGAGTATTTGCACCTTGGGACAGCGAAAGCATCTCGACCAAGACTGCGATGCACGACGTCAAAGAGGGAGATGACCTCATCGCCATCTATGTGCCGACAAGAAAGTTGTCCGTGTACCAGCCAGGGGTCACATCGGGATGAACGATCGTTGCCTTCGAGACCATTCCCTTCAAAGAGATAAGGGCAATCTGGAGCTTCAAGTCCACGAAGAAAGGGCCTGTGAAAGAGGTTAGGCGGATCTACTCCCGCGCCGTCGAGAGCGAGATCTGTCCAGGGTTCAAGGACGCTGCGGGCGTGACCCCGGCAGACTTTCTTGGAAACCTCAACAGTTTCCTGGACGATGAAGACTCAGCGGATGCCGACGTCCTGAAGAAGATGGTCGTCGATGCTTGCGTCAACATCGGAGTGCCCGAAGCCTTGCTGGGCAAATCGTTGGTAGAGATCACGGAATTGCTCAGCAGATTCATCGTCTACCGCGAGGACGACCCATCAAGCATTTCCAACAGAGTATGCCCAGCGTGCGCTATCATTATTCCAAGGGGATTTTGCTGCTGGAAGATGCTGAGCGATTCGTCGCCGAGGAAGAACGACCCGACACCCAGGAGATGAGTGAGGAACGGTCTGCAGGCAGATCGTACATCCCGTCGGATATCGGGACGGACATCGACGATGAAGACGCGGGAGTTTGTCCGGACAACCCAGAGGAGGATGCGGACGCAATTCATCTCCTGCAAGTCAAGGCCATCTGCGTTGACGAAGCCGGCGAGGCATCATACCTCTCTGGATTCATTGGCGTCGTACTTTTCAAAGTATGGAAGGTGTTCGCCAACAACGAGGCAGATGTGGTCAAGGAACCTGGCAAAGAAGGCGGACTATACTGTCCCTACATCTCGATCAACGGGAGGGACGATTGGATTTCAAAGATGTTGATGAACAGAATATTCCAATCCCGCCAACCTATGAAGAGGTCACTGCCGCTCCTAAGTTCAAGAATGTGAGGTTCAAAAGCGCAAGCCACAGGGACGAAGAAATGTTCTTTTGGTTCCTGAAGCTGAGAGGGCTATACATCATGTACCGGATTTGGACCGCTTGCAATATACTTGGTATTAAATCAGAGCAGTTCAGAGGTGTCAGCCATCAGAAGGACGTTGCCTTCGTCAGCGACACAATTTTCCGTTGCATCGCCCTCGGCCTCAACTGCGACTACATGACCTTCTACCGAACAGATGTGAACATTGGACGCAAGTTCTTGAAACTTGAGCTTGGCGCCATCATTTGCATTCAGGGCGTCAAAGAGGTCGACGCTCCTCTTATCCAATGGTGCTATTCACGAATATACATCTGCCCTCGCGCTTTACCGAGAAGATAAATCGCACCGAGGAGACACCAGATTCTCTGTTAGAAAGGTTCCGGTGGAGGGCGAATAGAAAGGCCATCACAGAAGCATCACACTGGTGATCAAGCATTTTCTTTACGACTTCCTCTACGTGGGGGATCAGCTGGAATTTGCAGTTATATACAAAGCGGGATCGTGATACTGATCGTGAATGATATCATGGCCAGCCGTGGTGGTACTCGTCGTGCACGGTACACTGGGCAAACCAAAAGTATTTGCATGAGACTTGCATTTATCACCACAAAATGTTTTCTTGTTTCCGTACAGTATCGTCATCGGCGACTACTATTCTGGAGATGCGCGTGTGAAGCAGTTGACGCAAATCAGCAACAGTAGGGTCTACAAGAGGTCTCGTGAATTTTCCGTACGGGGTGCGTCACTGAGGGTCGCCGGACAGCTGCCCGGGCGCGACACAGATGGACTGTCTACTACGGCGCCCTTCCTGGAGCAGGACTTGCCTTCGAGCGACGACGGTAGCAGGATGTTCGGCCAGCGATGATAGCTTGATCTTTCGACCGCGCTTCAAAGCAAGCTGCGCCTGACACATTGCATGCATCAGCTGTGAAAAACGCTCGTCATTCGGATAGAGATTGGGAAGGTAATGGGCGCTTCTTCTATTGCGCGACATATGGGAGTGGGAATTGCGGATGCGTTTGTTGTCGAAAGTTGTAGCCTCAGGGCAAGGGTTCAAGTTCCTTGTAGATACAAAAAGTCTTGGAAACCAGCACGGCGGTCCAAAGGGGCGGGATGTGGCGTCAGAACGCGGCGTCAGCCAGGAATGTGGCGTCATGGAATGTGGCGTCGGAATGCGGCGTCAGCCGGGAATGCGGCGTCAGGGAGGAATGTGGCGTCAGGGAATGTGGCGTCGGAATGCGGCGTCAGCCAAGAATGCGGCGTCAGGGAGGAATGTGGCGTCAGGGAATGTGGCGTCGGAGTGCGGGAGTGCGGAGTCACAACGCGGCGTCAGCCGAAAATCTTGCGCCAGAAAATGTGGCGTCGGAACGCGGCGTCAGCCGGGAATGCGGCGTCAGCCGGGAATGCGGCGTCAGGGAGGAATGTGGCGTCAGGGAATGTGGCGTCAGAATGCGGCGTCAGCCGGGAATGCGGCTTCAGGGGAAAATGTGGCGTCAGGGAACGCGGCGTCACAGGTTTTTGGAATGCAGCGTCAGAATGCGAATTCAGCGTCAGGTGGAAAAGCACTGGCCCTTTTGCGGCCGCCCTGCAATATGATACACTGTATGCCTATTTATGTTGCTATGGCATGATTTGTATGAACATTTGCGTTTGTAGATATGTGTGTAATGTACGTATGTACGTATGCATGTACGTACGTTATGTATGTATGTGTGCAACGTACTTCACACGCGCAAAGTGCAGCGCATGTTCGTGGCTTTGCTGCCTAACCTGTCAAGATTGCGCTTTTGTCACAATGTGGCAAACTGTAGGGACTAAGGCTAACCAAAACCAGCGAAAGGTTACTCAACATACCTCCGGCGCAGGCGTTCCTGTCGCGGCTAGATGACCGCTTGGATGAGATAGAAGCTCTGGCGCCGGAGACGTTGGGCTTTCCTTTGAAGTGCTGGGTGCCTCTAAAGTGATTAAGGTAGAAGACAAAACAATGTGAGCCCCTTGTTGTGGGGATGTTTCCAGGGTTGTTCTTTGGATAAGCTTTGCTGGTTGGTCCGTGTGTGTTTTGTTCTCAAGGATGAGGGAAGCGGGTGAGATCGGAGATAAATACGCTTCACTTGGGCCACAGCCAACATGTAGATGCAGGTGTGGCCAGATCTTGACATTGTTTTGCGGGTAAGCCAGTTGGCCCTTTGATACCAGCTTTCGCCACTCAGATTTGGACCCGGCGTTCGCGCTCACATTGCTAGCCCAACCAAAAACTCTGTGCGTCGGAAGGCTTTGTCTCTGTGTTTGAACCACAGTGATCTTCAAGAAGCCAACGACGTTGGTTTTTCGTCAGACTAACGCGCGTTCCACAGCCAGAGCGTTGATTCCTGTTGGATAGTTTGGCTTTTCAACCTTCCGTGTTGCTTGCGCCGCAGAGGTTTGCTGGAAAGGCAACACAAGTTTGCTTGGGTGGCTACAGGAGCTAGAAGCGATGAAAAGTGCCACCTCCAGGCGGCCAACGGACTGGGTGGTGATTTGAGAGTGCCGGAGATTACAGGAGATGAGCAATGGCCGGGGTGATCTGCGTCTCAAGAGGCAGAAACGGGAAAGGCTGCCTTGTGGTTCTGTTGGCTTGCCAAGAAAGTGGGGCAGAAGACCCAGTCGCTCAAATACCAAGCCGTCAAGCAATGTGGGACCATCAAGAAGGTATTGACCGTGTCAAAAAAACGGTCTGGTTGCCGGAGATTGTCATAGACCCCTTAAGAAGGCTTACTGCCGTTGAAAGGGCTCTGGGAATTTTTGACAAGGACCCACCAGAGTTGTTTGACCAACACGCGCTTGACAACCACGCGCTTGACAAGTGGCGCCAATTGAGATTGTGCTCAAGAGGGTTGGGCTGTGTTGAGGAGGCTTGTCGATGAGTCTTTGGGCCCATTAGCGTTTCAAAGAGACAGGGTTCTTGCTCAAGCCAAGCACGTCGCGGCGACTTTGACAATGTTAAATAATGTTGGAAGCAGCACCACACCCTTCACGTGAGTTGGCCACATGTCCGTGCAGCCACATGCAACTACAGTACAATGTTTCCAAAATCGCGCGCGCAGACCAGCTGCACAGACATATTATGCGCGCGTGCAAGCGCACACACGCAGACACACACCCTCCCGCACACACACACACACACACACATGCGCACGCGCGCAGGTTCGCACACGCTCACGCAATCGCGCGCGCACGCCCACCCCCACGTCCACGCCCACGCCAAGTTTCAGCACGTGCCCAAGCACATGCACACCCACGCACACACACGCGCAGGCACAGGCACACGCACAAGCACGCGCACGTAAACGCCGACGCACCCGCGCCCGCACATGCCCACGCGCACGCACGCACACGCGCGCGCACACGTGCACGAACTGGCGCGCAGACACAGACACAGACACAAACAGAAGCAGATACACACGCACACGCACACCCACACACACACACACACGCACACACACACACACGCACACACACACACACACGCACACACACACACATGCGCTTGCACACACACACACGCACACACACACACGCAAAGACTCGCACACTGGCGCACACACACATGCGCACGCACGGACACGCGCGCACAGCCACACGCACAGACACTCGCATACACAGACCCACACACACAGACCCACACACACACACAGACCCACACACACAGACACACATACACAGACACACACACAGACACACAGACACAGGCACACACACACAGACTACACACACAGACGCACACGCGCAGACACACAGACACAGACACTCACACAGACACACACGCAGACGCACAGACACAGACACACACACAGACATACGCACACACACACAGACCCACGCACACAGACACACACTCAGACACAGACACACAGACACAGACACACACACAGACAAACACACAGACACACACACACACACACACATATATATATATATATATACAGATCCACACACACAGACACACACACAGAGAGCCACCAACACAGACACACACACACAGAGACAAACACACGCAGACAAACAACAAACAACAAGCATCAACCAACAAGCAATACACAACAAACAGTCAACCAACCAAACAATCAAACCATCAATCAAACAAACAAGGACCAGAACCAGAACCAGAACCACAACAACAACAACAACAAGAACAACGACAACGACAACGACAACGACAACAACAACAACAACAACAACAACAACAACAACAACAACAACAACAACAACAACAACAACAACAACAACAACAACAACAACAACAACAGCGCACGCCACACACGCGCAATGCGCGACACTCAACACACAACATCAACCCGCACACACAAACCACACACGGACACACACGCACACACACGCATCAGCACACAGCCGCAGAGACAGGCTCAGAGACATAGCGCACGCAAACATACAAGCACACAAACACACCCGCGCCCGCACTCGCACACGCACGCACACGCTCACCCTCACGCGCGAGCGCACCCGCAACCGCACGCGCAGGCAAACGCGCACGCTCGCGCACACACGCGCGCACGCACGCACACACGCACGCACGCACGCGCGCACCCACACACGCGCGCGCGCAGAGGCACACGCACGCAAACACACGCGCACGCACGCACGCACGCGCACAGGCACGCACGCACGCACGCATGCGCACTCACGCACGCACGCTGGAAGCAAAGGCCAGCTCGTCACCTCATCACAACTCAGCAAAACAACCTGTTAGCGCACGATATGCTTGTGCCTGAGTCTGGCGCATATTGGTGCCATCTTGGTGACATTTGGGTGAAGTATTGGTTCTTGAGGTCCATGTCGCCTGGGCCTAGCCTGAGTACTGACTGTGACATGCTGGGCGCCTGCAGCAGGCTAGAAGAGCTTCGGAAAGGCATGTCCGCGCGAGAGCGTCCTCCGGTGTCAGGATCTCAAAATGGGAGACCCCAAGGAGTGTTTCTATTTAATTTGCCAGTGTAACAAACAGCGCCCTGAAGTACCAACGCACCCACCCGCGTCCCCAGAGCTGTCGTTGTTGCAAGAACTCTGAAAAGAAAGTGGAAAGGATAGGGATCCTTGATGTCTCGAGCGCAGGGAGATTTGATCATTGCTCAAGCACGAGGCGTGAGAATGCAGGAGTATGTGGCCCATTGCCGCGAGGGTACAATCTGCCAGAAGCGCGGACTAGCCTTGCCTTGGACCCGATGCCAAGGGCATGGAGGTCGAATCATTTGTATATATATATATATCTCTCTCTCTCTCTGTCTCTTTTCGCGCTCTGCTTTTTTGTCCTCTCTCCCCTGATTCTCGCTTTTTTCCTCAAGAGCTCAGGACGTCCGGCCAGGCGCCCACGGGGCCGATTTGGCTCGAGCCGTTTGCGCCGGCTGGGGAAAGAGCGGCTCTGCCCGATTTGAGGCTCACAAGAAACAAACAGGTGTGCCGCTCGCTGCTTGTAGACTTTCACGCAGGCCCCATTGTGAAACGTTTGAGCCAGGGCCAGCTCGTGAAGGGGTTGCAAACACACCGAAAGTCTGGCAGCCCCAAGAAGCCCCATTCTGAGTAGTTTTTTGGGAACGCATCAAGATGACGCGCGGTCGTGTGCTGGGAGTTAGTCGTGGCGCCGTTCAGGACACTCAAGTTTTGCGCAGGTCCACGGCTTAAGGCTACACAGGTACAAAAGCGTTTCCATGGGCCATCGGTAGGAACCTTAACATCCCTTCAGTACCGGAACAGTTCGGTCTGCGTTGTCTCTCCTTGGGCACAACACCCCGAAAAGGGGGCCCATACTGCTGACGCGCCCTTGGATACATTGTTGGGGCTCGCTCTTGTCCGCTTCTGCGTGCGACTCAATCCGGCCCCAATCAAATGTGACAGTTGTCACACTTCGACAAGCGTGTACCATGCCAAGAAACAATGACGAGATTGCAACTCGGAACATGGCGTTTTGAGTGTCAACGCTTGTCATTTGAGTGTCAGTGGGGGCGCGAATCGAGGTCACTTCCCCCTTGAAAAGGTCACACACGCTAGTGCCGGTTCGCGTAACGAGCGACTTCCGCTCGGCGCCCCAGGTGATGTCGAGCCCCGTCGCCTCGCAATTCTGGGAACTGCATCGACGCCTTGGGGAATGCTACCAGGTGGACTTGCAGACTGCCGCACGGACGCGAATGAGCAAACTCGAATTCGGACCATCGCAGTAGCTTCTTTGGTTGATTGGGAGGGGGCCAACCTTTTAGGGGACAAGTGATAAGTCTCGAAGAAAAGCATGGGAGAACACCCCAAAAACTCCACGCACAACTGCGACCATTCGACCCCCTCATGTTGTTGGAGCGTCCAGGCCTTGAACGCGCTGCGGAGCGCAATGTTGAAGTTTCGCTGCAACAGAAAACCAACCAAACAGCTTACTTTAGAAATGACTACCCCATGTCGACTGTGGATGTCCGTGACATGTCAAGCAACAGTATCAAGCTTGGAGTTGCCCCGGTCTGAGAAGCCGAGGCTTCCAACGCTTGGCGTATGAAGCGGCTCGACTCCGAGAACCACATGGAACCAGGAGTTTTTTGCTTCGCTTTCATCACCTTCCCAATGAAAGCTGGATGCTTGAATAATTGTCTGGCAAACAGGCAGTTTGCCCAAGCCTCGGGGCAATTGTGTGCCCCGGGTGCTGAAAGCGCGGTATGGATAGAGATTATCAAAAGAAAGCTTAGCAAGAAAACTTCCGTAGTACGAAAAGTTGAACTCCACGGGTTCGCCGCGGGTTCGCCGCGGCGGTTTGAGTTGCGTGTCAGGCGCAGTGCTTTGGCAACCAGAGGCGTAGCAGGAGCAGCATTTTGTTCCCATGGGCATCAGAAGCACTTTGTGGCGGCAAGTGCGCGAATTGCGAACCGAACTGCTGCGTGACGAATCCGTGGCAGGCGCTCGACTTACGCGCCCGGAGGTGCAGATTTCGTGGTAGCGGCACTTTCGCAAGGTCAAGAACCGATTTCGTGGCAGGCGCAGCATTTCGCACGCTGTGATAGATAGATAGATAATCCAATGGAAAGAGAGAGAAAGAAAGAAATAAAGAAAGAAAGACACAAAGAAATATAGACGGCAAGAAACAAAGAAGCAAAGAAGGACAGAAAGAAAGAAAGAAAGACAGAAAGAAAGAAAGAAAGACAGAAAGAAGGAAATAAATAAAAGAAGAAAGAAGTGAAAAGAAAGACGGAAAGAAAGACAACATGAAAGGAGGAAACAAACACAGGAATAAAGAAGGGAGTGAGAAAGAGAGACAGAGAGGGAAAGAAAGAGAAAGAGGAAGAGGAAGAGGAAGAGAAGAGAAGACAAGTGAAAGAAAAGAGGAGAGCAGAAAACACAGAAAGAGAAATAAAAGAGAAGAGACGAGAAGAGAAAGAGAGACAAAAGGAAACTGACAGAGAAAGAGAAAGAGGAAAACAAGACGAGGCTGAGAAAGAGAAGAGAAATATCAAGAGGAAAACAAAGAAGAGAAAGAGGAAGATAAGCCAAAAGAGGAAGAGCAAGAGGAAGAAACAAGGAAGACAAAGAGAAGGAGAAGAAAAGGCACGAGATGCTCAGAGAAGAGAAAGAAGAGAAGAGAAGAGATGCTGTGCGAAAACAGTTCATCTCCTGTGTGCGCATCATTGGTTATAAACTTCCGGCTTCCAGCTGGTATGTCGTACACATCAATCCACCAGTAAACGAGGCGCACTCGAGGGCCGCGATTGAGACTCATTTGAGGGCTTGAGTGTTAGAAAGAGTTGGCAAAAGATGAATGTGGCCACGGGCGCAGATTCTTGAGAGCAGTTTTTTGGGTTCAGCCGGTTGCCTGGAAGTTGCACCGTCCGCAACCGTGGTTGTGGTGATCTAGCACATCGCAGTCGTGGGGGGGGGGGTCGAATCACACAATCTTTGGGGTTCAAGTTAGTTGCTTTCCAGGCCGCGACACCTGATTTGTTTGTAAGCTGCGTGTGCCAAGTGTCATTTTGCAAGGCGGGTTGCTGTGCGCTAGGATTCGTCGGACCAGTGGCTCCGGAGCCTCCGCCATTTGCACCCTCCCTGATGCTTCCAAACTCGAGCTTCGCACGGGTGAGGAGGGCCGGCGACATCCCAGAGATTGGACAGGTGTTAAACCGGGTTAACCACTTTTTGTTTTTTGTTCACCTTGTTCAAAGGGAAGGATCACCCATGACGGTTTTTGGGTGCAAAAAGTTCCAAATCGAACATTTAGAGTGACGCCCCGAAAATGATTAACACGTTAAGATGAGGGAAGGCTTGAGGCCTCCTAAAGCCTTCAGCTGAACATGTTCCAACCCTCCAGCTACAAGGGAAGTGTGCAAACAGAAGGGGCCCTCGTGTTATCCAGTGGGGATCAATTTGGCAATTCCCAGCGTCCCACGTCCCGAGCGGCTGCAAAATCCCACGGCACCCACCGGCACCAATCCAAGTTCCCGCGAAGTGACCGGAGCTTCGAATCGCTAGTCTCTCGTGAGTCCTCCCGTCGGAAGCTATACAGAGAAGTTGCTTGGTTGTTTTTTGGCTTTGGGCCATTGTCACCGAACCAAGGCTTTGACGAATCGGAAAATGAGCATTTCCCCACTAGCCAGTAAAACAAATCAAGTTTGCGCAGGGAGGCAAAGACCAACCCAGGTTTTCTATAATGACAGGGCATGATCTTGGAAGCAACAAAGACATAGAGATGGCTCCACAAAGGTATGGTTTCCCCACATGAGTTGCGATTGGCACCCTATTTCCATTTGTTTTGGCATGTTGCACGAGACCCTTGGGACTTCTCGGAGCAACCCCTCCGCTTTTGCTCGATCACATGGATTGAGAGCCATAGCAATGGCCGGCCATCAGCATGAGCGCCATTTAGTTGCACCTCCAGTAGGTGTTAATTTTGGGTCTGGTTGAAGCTCTGAAGCGGGAAACTGGCTCTATCCAAAAACCGGGGACGAACCCTACGAACCCCAAGCCTGGCTCGCTGAGAGAGAAAGAGGACTCGTGAAGCATCCGCTTTGCAGGAGCAATGATGAAGATCTCCGGTCAGGTACCAAGGAATGCTTGATGAGCAGACAAAGCAGCATTCTGAGCCAAGACAAGAATGCTGCAGACAAAAACTCTGCCAGAGTGTCGGCAAAAATCACCCGCTTTGTGGACAAAGCGCCCCTTGGCTGTGCTTGGGCGTCTGAGTGTTTGGGCGTAAGCAAGTAAAACTGTAAAAGGATGGATCTATCACTGCCAGATTTTCTTATGCCAGCCCGACGGCGAAGACAGCAATGAGCACAAGACCCACCGACATGTTTGTCGGAGATCAAACTGAGCCACAACACTGCATGTTGCTTTCGCGGTGTGAAGCTTACAAGGAAAAAGCCACGGATGTGACAAAAAAAGGGTTGACGGTTGCCGAGTGTTTGAGCGTTCCTGTCTGCCTGAGTTGCAGGTGTTCAAAGAATATTTGGTTGCTCCAGTGATGTGCACCTCGCGCATGCACCCCCATGGCCACAAGAGTTACTTGGATTTCGTGCATTGAGTGTTCGAGCTCGCGCGAGCCGGAGCCCGGCCTCCCGGCCTTTAAGCGTCCCGTTTTCAGTCCTGAGGTTTTGCGAGAGCGATGTGGGCATCTGCTCCAAAGATGCAAGCAAGTCAGATGAAGAAGAACGCGATGCCGCGGATTTTGCTCCCAGGCACAGGGAGCGCCATGAGCACGGCAGAGTCAACCACAAAGGGCAGCGCGAGGTAGGGCAACGTCTCATGAGGAGTTTGGGTGATCCCGGAATTGAGTGACTCTGTGTCAAAGGAATGTGCAGAAGCAAGCAATCGATGGTGGTTGAAACCGATGTGGACAGCCTGAGGTTAATGTAGCCAGACAAATTTCCGCAGCCCTATTTTGGCCTGGGCTGCGCCTCCAGTTTTTGTTTGTGTGTTTAGTTGAATATGGTTGGTGTTGCATGTCTTTGCGTGCATCTGCTGTGTTTGTGTTTGTGTGTATGTGTGTATCCGTGCTTATTTGTATGCGGTTCTGTGTGTTTCTGTGGGGGTCTGATCTTCTTTGTGTGGGCATGTGGACACTGATTTTGTGGCTCTGCATCTTTACGTTTCTCGCTGGCCTCACTCTTTCTCTCTTTCTCTCTCTCTTTCTCTGCCTCTGCACCTGCTTGTGTCTCTGCATCTCCTAGTATGCTTCTGCCTCGGCCTTCCAGCCTTCTATCGGCATATCAGCTATCGTGCACTTGTTCAGACGGGAAGGAGGACAGCCGAACGGAAGACACTTCCTGTTGAACGCCCAAAAAGCAACGCCCCTCAACACAAGACAACCGCGGGAGAACCTCCTCAAGAATGGCTGGACATAGCGCCAACCAAGTAAATTATGTTGAAGGATCCGCAATCAAAGTTCACATGGCTCGTTGATCCAGGGCGTGCTGGGATTTGGAGAATATCACGCCGGCGTTTACAAGGAGAAAGACTGGACCTATGCCTGCCAGGAGGGTGCGTGTGTGTGTGTGTGTGTGTGTGTGTGTGTGTGTTGTGCTGTGTGCTTTGCAGGAAATCTTGATTGAGCAAAGGGAAAAACACGCAAGGGGCACGCAAGGGGCACGCCAGCGGGAAAACACTGAAGCGGATCCCCTTCTCAAAAGGGGCTGCGCCTTGCTCTACAACCACATCCCGACTGGAGTTTACGGATTAGTCTCTGCCTTCAAATAAGAAATTCCCGAAATGAGGTTTTCCCTTTGATACTTATACCCCAAAGAACCTTTTCAAAGAGGGTTCCAAACAAAAGCAGCACACAGAATGTGCGAAGGGAAGGGCGATTTTGCCCAGAACCCATGTCCAGGTCTGCCACGTCGTTGTGTTCTTTGGGCTCGAATGAGAGCTTGCGAATAGTGACGGAGATCCACCTGCAGAAGTCCAGAGAATGCTCTGCGACTAGGGTGCATGTGAGTCCCTTGGGATAAAGAGTCCAACATCTGAGAGGCCCCATTTTTTCTGACCTCCGGTGAGTTTGCTTTCAAGGGAAGGGAAGCCAAAGGAAGCCTAAATGGAATGCTGAAAACCACAGTTTAGTCTTCGTGCGGCCATGGCACAGGTTGGTTTCGATTTCAAAACCGAACGGGCGGACTACTTTCAATACTTTCTGGCTTGATGGCTCAAGTGTCCTTGGCTTCGCTGAAGAGTTGGACACTCGGCTGCTTTCGGGAACTTTAGTGGCTGGCTTCTCTTCGGCACGTTTGCAAAGCGAACCATATGCAGGGAATTCCCACACTTGGCTTCGCGTTTGTAACGCAACCGAGGTAACACTGAATTCAATCAGAGGAGCTCACTTCAGCTAGTCCCACCCCAGGTTCACACCGCCGTCGCACATCGGGAAAGGTCAAGATGGCCTCCCAAATTGCTTGGAGCTTCAATTCCGAAGTGTTCAGCAGGCGCTTTGACTGCCATCAGACATCACTGGGCATTGGGGACTCTAGGAGACACATGCTCACAAGAACATGGGGGGTTTACAGTGCACAGGAACCTCTGCTCGTGCTAGGGTTTGGCATTTCTTTGTTTGATGGTTGCCAGTCTCGCCAAGATTACGCCTTGGCCCGGTTGGGTTTGCGGATATCCAAGATGGTTACGATCGGGGTTGCGCGAGGCAATACACCCACACGCCACGTTCAAGATCTGCTGGGACATGTTGGGCATGATGTTCCTACTGCGCGATCTGATTTTCATCCCTCTGCAGCTGTTTGACCGCCCTGCCATCATCGACTCCACCGACATGATGTCTCTGCTCTTCTGGACCGCGGACATCGTCTTGTCCTTCTTCACAGGGTATTATGAGAAGGGCAGCTCACTTGACCAAAGCGAACTGACCTTTTGCCTTTTTGCTTTTCCAAGTTTGGTCCGCTTTCAGGCCGGGTGTTGCAAGTGTTGTCCTTGTGAAAGCTGAGTGGAATCTCCCACGACATGGTCACTTTTGCGGCCTGCACTAACACATGCATGACCGAAGGCCTTGAGCACTCGAGACAAATCAACGCTTCGCGTTGCGGACACCATTCGGTGGTGTTTGTTTGTGGTTTGCCGCGTCCTTTTAGTTTGCAATCTACCTGCGTCCTGTTAAGCCGCGCGGACGCCTCTGCCAAGTGTTGGGAATGGCGCGCAATCTGTTTTCCTGTGGCATGGGTCAGCCCACGACGGGAGGCTTGACGCATCCTACAAGCAAGCCTCTGAGCGAAGCTGTCAAGCACCAGGAGTTGCATGCCCGAAGCATCTTTCTATCCAACCCCGTCAAGATCAAAGATGGGGCCAACTCCTTCATAACTCAGCTCGCGATCTTCGAGGTCAGCTATGGGAAATCCGTTGACAGGCCCCTTGCGCAACAAAGTCATCTGCGTGCTGACCGATTTCAATCCCGTGCTCAACATGCAAGGATCGCCTTGAACACCTTGCCCATGAGCAGATGGTGGTGGATCAGCTACCATGTCTGGATCAGCCTTCATCAACGGCGTCGGCCAGATTCCACAGGCAGGGTCAAGTCCGCCGCGCGGTCGAGGTCAAGAGCAAGGACACCCCTGGCGGATCTCATCCGACGAGGCAAGCTTCATGGAAGAAGATGACGGCAACACCTTCGCTTTGCAATGAAGATCTGCTAGATTCAGCTGCGCAACCGGCGACCGGCGCCACCTGGCCTTAGCCCGCGCTCAAGTTCCCGTAGAGGTGCAGGACACAGGCGTCACGGTGCAAACTGCCAAGAGCAAGAGACACAGAACGTCTTCTTGAGGCACGTCTGGCCTTTAGCCTTTTTCGTCCGCCCTTGCTGTAGGGGACGGAGGTCACGGGAGTGTGGTGTGACAGCCGACAATCCGTGGCAAAACGCTCGGACAGAGCGATGCGAAATTCTATGCCACCGTCTCCGTCGGTTCCCGGTCAAATGTCCCCTTCTTTTCTCCTCCCCTCTCCTTCCCCTCCCCTCTCCCCTCTCCCCTCTCCCCTCTCCTCCCCTCTCCCCTCTCCTCCCCTCTCCCCTCTCCCCTCTCCCCTCTCCCCTCTCCCCTCCCCCCTCCCTCCCCTCTCCCCCCTCTCCCCTCTCCCCTCTCCCTCCCTCTCCTCTCCCCTCTCCCCTCTCCCCTCTCCCCTCTCCCCTCTCCCCTCTCCTCCCCTCCCCTCTCCCCTCTCCCCCTCTCCTTCGAAAGACCTCATGACACGCTCTGGATGAAGATGGCGAGGGGTGGATGAAGTTTGGGAGATGCACTTCAACCGTTTTCTATCTGAGGGGCGGTGGGAAAGCAATGCTGCCAAAGCGGGCGGAGGTTGGAAGGATGGCCGGGCCCAAGTGTTGAGCAAAGAAAGGGCTGCGTCTTTGGTCGCGGGAGCTTTCTCAAGATGGCCGCGGCTAGGCGCGCAGCATCGTCTTGTCTGGCTGCGTCGCGCGATGTGCACACACACACACACACACTTGAAGGCGGCGATGGCTGGATATGCGACTCGAAATAGCAACAACAGGCTCGTGTTTCTTTGCGTGCATGTGCGGGCACGCGATTTTTCACTTACACGCATGGAGCGCCAGCCCTACCTGCTCCTGAGGACGCGCGGAGGTGATTGACTTCACGGGTCACGGCTCCCACATCGAAGCGGGAGCGGTTAACTTGTCCCCGAAGGCCTGAGACGTTTCACAGACCAGAAGCAAGCTACTCCCCAAAGAACCAACGGATGTACGGGGCCAAAGCCAAGACCTCGTTTGGCCAAGCGGAGTTCAGAGACCCACCAAAGATACGATCATGTTCTGGGAGCCTCAGAAGGTGCGCCTCTGGTGGAAAAAAACCGGCCAGTGTGCGCTTTCACCCCGTAGGGTGCCTATGTGCTTGTGTCATCGAGTGGGATTTGGCGCCCCAATGCAACCCATTGACGGCGCAGACGGTGCAGATTGCTCAGGCTGCACACACGCTTGCGGCGCAGACTGCGCAGATAGCGCAGACGGCGCAGATGGCGCGCAGAAGGCGCAGATGGCGCAGGGCAAAGGGCGCATAACAGAGGCTTTCCCAAAAACCTGAAGGTTTGGCTCAGCCAAAAATTTTTCTCGAGGGAACAAGGTCGAACTGCAGATGAAGCTGGGGCGCAAAGCCTTAGGCTGTGCGAGGCAGAGTGGGGAAGAGAGCTGCGCGCAGCAATGCTGCGCATAGCTGCGCAGCACGGGCGCCGCGCAGCAAAGCTTTCCCGGATTATGTTGACACGCGCTGCCCAGCAAGGCTATGTTGAGACGCATTACGCGGCGAAGCTATGTTGAGATAACAATTACAACCCCCAAAAGCATCACGAGTAGAAGCACTTGGACCGACGAACGTGAAGCTTCCCGATCCCACCCCACGCCAGAAGCCAATTCTTCGCACAGGACAATTCTTGAGTTTCTCAGCCGATGTTGACTTGAAACGGAAGATCCGGGGATGAGAGGGCAAGTCTGTGGCAACCTTCCTGGCCGGAGCAACCGCTCCAGGCAAGTTCTTGGCGCGAGTTCTTTGTGCAAGTTCTGTCATCTGTTGCCAAGTTTCTATGAGCAAGTTCTCTGAGAAAGTTCTTTACGCGCAGTGCTGACCACAACACCGCAACCTCTCGACGCGAGTAGAATTGTTGATCCGGACCTGCGAGAGCTTCGTGCGACGCTTTCGTAGGTAAAAGTTGCGATCTGCCCGCCGGAGCCTTTTGCGCGTACTGCTTTCGTAGCTTTGCATACTACTTTGGTACTTAAAAGTTGCGATTTCCCAGCCGGAGATGCAAGCGCGCGCTTCGTTAGAAGCTGCGGAGACGAAGCAGGATTCGAGCCTGGGGCCGCTCGCTTCCAAGCGCAGGCGCGCAAACCTCGAGACAAACTTTCAAGTCCGCGTTCTGACTAGAAAAGTAGCGGTGGCATGTCGTGCGATCGACCATGCCAGTCTGCGCAGAGGGTCGGCAAGCCCCCGCCGCGGGCCTTCAAACCAGTTCAAGACACCGCGAAAAGAAACCCGTTTGCATGGTGCCAAGGGCCCTGACACGCGTGATGCGCAGGGCCAGCTGGTATCACCCATGGCTGTGTTTTGGTCGGACAACAGCAGGAGAAGATCTAAAAGCAATTCGTTTTTGGACTAGATGCCGGGGACACGCCGGCAACGGTAGGCAGATCTTGGTGTGGCCTGCCCTTGCACAGTTACAGGAGGGCAAGGAGTAGGCTACACCGAAATTCTGGCGTCGGGCGTAGCTTTTCCGCTGGGCGGGGCGCGGCTGGAAACGCTGCCCTTTCACGATTCAACGCGCGGGCTCGGGCTTGGCTTCCGGAGCAGTCCCAAGCCGACCCCGCTGCAAGCGCCGACTGCAGCGGAGCCGCAAAAAAAGCGCGGGCAAAGAATCAGTTTCCCGACGGTTTCCGGCGCCTTCGATTTTGTCAAGAGGCGTGCTCTCACGCGCGGCCATGGCTGAGGCAAGCGCGCCTGCAAAGAGCCGCCTGCGTGGTTTCAAATTCGGGTCTGGCTGTCTTTTCAACGCTATCGATCCGCGCACTAGGTTGGCAGAGCCAAAAGAAAGGCGAAGCAGAAGAAAGTTGCTGGGTTGACGTGAACGGTACTAAGGAAGCCGGCTAAAACTTTGCTCAGGCGAAGGTTCCCACGTCTGCGAGAATTGGAAAAACGCGCGAGGCTCAAAGGCCAAACCCGGCGGGTTTTTTCCCGGTTCGATCTGAGAGCTTGGCATGAAGGAAATGGCCAGACCGCGACGCATCCCGCGCAACTTCAACATTGCGGCGCTCGCTGAGGGCGCCTTTCGGTGTGAAGAGGAGAGCGAAGTTCTCTTGCGAGGTGAACAAGCCTTGCGTGGAATGAATCAGTCTGCGGCCCGGCTCCCATGACAGCACGCGCTAACACGTGCATGGCTGAAGGCCTTGAGCGCCCGAGACAAATCAACACGTTGCTTTGTGGACGTTTATTCG